CATTACTAAAAAATTTATTGTGCGTATGTTTATGCGATTATTTCTTAAAGCTTACAACGTTTAAGGAGAAATTTAAAGATGACCGTCCCAAGCCTAGTCCTAGTGAAAAGCCTTGCAATTACTAATTTCAGAAATGTTTCCATGTTCCTTATATGTGTTGTTCTCAATATCGATGCCCGTGATTCAACAATGCAGAAACGGCCATTTGCTTAGAGTTTGGCAATCTCAATTTTTCCTATTGTTCTACTTTTGTCCGAATAGCTTTTGCTCTATTCGCCTAATTGCTGAAAATAAAGCCCTTCTTCTCCGTGATGCACTGTTAGTATCCCCAAAATGACAGCTTTCGCTTTTGAAACCTGACGTTTAGACTCATGCTCGCTTCCTTGCTTGCAGCGTTTCTCATCTTGCACATTCACGCTCATGCACCAAGTGCTGTCATTATTCCAGCACATCAATTTGTCGCACCCCGATATGTAGCAATAGGAGGAAGTGGTGTTCGTCAGGTGTGTAAGAAGAATATCATAAAAACCAGCTAATGAGCGTACACATGATCTACTCGTTTAGGCCAACATTTACAGCCCCGTCTGGCCACGAATGATCACCGCGGCAAATGCAGGTGACTCTCATTTGTTACTTCTACTCTTTTCTTTGAAAGTTTCTGTAAAAGGGCTGTTTCAGATGTAATGTACGGAAGCCAAGAGATCGCAGATTTCCTAGGAAGTGGGTAATTCCCACAATCTCAAAAAGAGTGTTATAATACATACTTTCCAGTTCCGGCATTCTATTGGATGATATTGTTTTTTATCTCCGTTATTGTGACAGCTGTTGGTTTACTATCGCTAATTGTATTCTTCATAAGGCGTCAACAAGAAAGCTTAAAACGAGTTGAACAACGTCGCTATAAGGCATATTGCATGCCATTGTAATGGACGTGCCCGCTTCTTGTGAACGGTTACATTCATGGAAGTTGTGGGGGATCATAAGTGTGTATGGCAAGCTGTTTTCCTCTCAGATGTGCTTTTATATAATTGTTCCGGATTTGAAAATCGATGTCAATTTTTTGGAATCCTTATATAAATTTAACATGTTGTCATTATATAATGTTGGCCGTTATTTTTGAAAATAACCATTCATTAATTATGCAGTCTAAACCTGCTTAGCAATTTGTTACCTTGTCTTTTCCATTGATAGCAACGGAAATGTATTGAGGAATTAAAAATACTGAGAATTTACAAACACACTCCTAATCGACGAGCGGCAACTATTACATAACAGAATATACTTCCAATGAGTAGAAAGCGACATTGAAAGTAATCGAAACCTAATAAGTAATGCTGAGCAACTTAGTTGCTGAAATGAAATATTACCCAGAGAATTGCATGAGGCAGCAAAGTTGTGAACAAGAAGTGAGAGAACAATGAGGATTATGATTGCATAGTGTGGCAG